AATGTTAATTAATAAATATTTTTTAAATATTTTAACACATTTATTACCTATATGGCCTTAAAAAATAAAGAAAAATAAACGCTTATTACCACCAAGTATCATTTATCCTTTGTACTGTCGAAAAGAGTTGAGAATTTGTGTCAGTGTTTAAAAAGTTTTAAGTGGTGAATAAAGCTGAAATGTGTTTTCCTAACTCAAATTAAGGAAGATGTGGAATCAGGCGTGTCTTTTTGTAGTTGTGTATACTTTTTTTTATGACTGAGAAAAATGACACTTTTGGGTCATTAAAGTAGGAAGGCAGAATCTTGTGCCACCCCTCTGTGAACATCCCTGACACATGTTTCGCGAATCTTCTCGCTTATTACATGATAACGAGCTTTCTAGATATTACATCATCATGATTAGAAAGTCATTTTAGCGAACATCTAAATTAAACTATTAAAAATATTGCTTATAACATTTGGATGTGAGTTTATTTTCCTTTATAGAATGATTTTTGTTAATTACATCTTGGGAACTTTCTCAAGAAATTGTGTAATATCGAATATGTTAGTGTATAAATATACATTTATATAAGATATATATATATATATATATATTAACTTGTGTAACGTTGATCTTAACCTGATTTGAGTTGTTTTATACACTGAAAACTACAAGGAAAATTATGCGACATATCTGAACATAAAGTGTTAATCATACTTCACATGACTGCCTTGTATCATGCTAATGCTGTGGTGTGAACTCGCAAGTGTGATCTGTGGTACCATAAGTACAAGCTTAGTACTTAGATATCTGTTTGTTTGAGGCTAGAAGATATGTCACATGTTTCTGAAAAAAGGGCGTTCATAAAGTAAGATGTTAAATGATGAAGAGTCAAAGGACACAATGTATCAAAGAAAGAAGTGAGTTTTCAATATACTACATGGAAACCGAAAAAAAAAACTCGTGCATGCTCCCAAACCACACCTAAGGCTGACATGAAGCAACATTTTCATTTTCAAATAAAGACTTTTGTTACGAAAGAGATCTTTCTGATTTAAAAATACATTGTGGTTAAGTTTACCACATTATTACAATACTATATCTATAATTCCAAACAGAGTACGTATGTTTAATGTAACTACATACTGACTCACATACATCCAAAGCATGAAAAACGTCTCAAGCCAATAACTCGAGCACACATACACATAAAGAAAAGCGTGCTATCTCAAATAATAATAGTTTACATGACTCCAGCACCTTGTATTTACCTTGTTAGATATACAGGTCTGTTTAAGTTTAACGTGAATGTTATAATTTAGATGATTTAAATATAGTGCGGGTGTTAAATTTAGTTATTTTTAGAAGCGGTAGTTTATCGCAAGTGTTTTTACGTAACTATGAATGAATCATACATTTTGTTGTTCAATTGTTGTGAATTGACGTTTGTTGTATTATTGCATGATGTTACTAGAACATTCTAAGTTTTCTTGTTGTTTTAATATCTCGTAGTTTGTGAAACATTCTAGGCCTGTATCAGGCTATAAATACGCGTCCACGATGTTGTTCAAGTTAGTTAATTAATGATATATATTTAGGTATAGATAGATAGTTAGATATAGACTGCTTGATTGTGAGTTTAGCAATAAAGAGAGTATAGTGGCGATTTGTAAAGTGAAAGTATCACAGCTTGCATTGTAATAACAGAGCAGAGTAGAATAATTCGTTTTGTCAAATTGTGTTCTAAAGTAATTGAACCAGCTTACGTGGACTTCGACGAAAAAAAAAAAAGACAATTATTTAAAGCTCTGAATACAACTGTGATAACCAACAGTGTAACGAACATTTGTGTATATGTTTGACTTATTTTAATATATTATTTCAAAACAGGTGTACTGTGTGCTGTTTGTTTATTGTTGAGATTTATCACCAACAAGTTACAGACACCTACTGTAAAGAATTTGGCCCATACATAAAACCTGAAATACTTAGTCTCGCTCACCAATTTGAAACAGTGCAGTGAATTGTTGTTATGTTGTGTCATTGTGAAGCCTGCTATACTAATAAAGAAATATGATGTAGTCGGATTGCAATTATGTGACTAGTATGTAGTTGTGCATTAGAATATGTGGAGCTCTTGCATTTCGTTGAACCACAATATCTCGCAGAACCCATTAATGTCTGTCGAGGAACCCGAGGGTTCTGCAGAACCCTAGTTGAGAAACACTGGTCTAAGATGAATATCGACATCTTTTGCAGATGCTAATTATTATGGGAATTGGTATGTCGGACAATAAAGCTTATTCACACACGACAGATTGAGTTTGATTGACGATGGATGAAATAGCTACAAGGGCAACACAAAACGTGTTACATTGTTCTTATGAAGTATTATCAACCTTAATAGTTAGGCATGAACAAATTGTTCATCCCTCTTTGCCCCCGGCGAGTTAGAAGAAAATTTATAGACTTAGAATGATAAATACGAGGTTCGATTCCCCATGATGGACAAAGCACAGACATTGTGAACATTGTGCAGCTTATAGCTAAACAAAAACAACAAAGCCTAACTTTTTGGTGTTATATTTTTTTCAGAAAAACTAGGAAATTATCTTGTTGATTTTAATAGTATATTATTTAATACTAAAGAAATAAATATGCTTGTAGGTTTGGCTTGTTAATAAATAGATGATCAACTAGTAAAACTAAAGACTTGCCAATTTAGGGTCAAAATGGTTAAATTAGACTTATTGCAAATATTTAATTTTGGTGGGTTATCTTATTTGGTGGGTATCAGATAATATCCTGTAGTTTTTTCACATAAATAGAAGTTGATATGAAATTTTTGGCACCATATTGTTATGTATGTGCTTGTTTGTTTGTTTCTGGTAGAAATTCAATCCCAGGATCTTCAGCGATACAAGTCCTTTCTTGATTAAATCAGTTACTTCTTCCTTGATACAAACTTTTAGTACACAGTAGTTCCACAATCAGTACGTTTCTCGTCACTTTAAGCTTATCAGCGATTCACAATCTCGATAACTTCGCTCTCGACGAGTGCAAAACACATACTTTATTCCCCCGCTGGCCTTCTCTGCCAGGCTTATATACTAACGAAGAGGGCATCTCGAACACATTCGGACTTCCCCGATCATTCGAGAAACTCATCACGCACGTCATGTGAATTCCGCTGTCGTAACAATATTGTTCGTATTCAGCTAGGTCCTCTGACTACGTACTTAGAGATGGAAAGAGTACGATTTTACTTTCTCAATCAAAATTAAAATGAAAACAGATGGAATTCAACAAAAAAGTACGCAACCAGAATTACGATGGAAGCAAGTAGAAGTTAGTCAAATGACTTAGAAGATCAAAAACTGGATAATAACTGTATTTAGAATACGCGTGAATTTTAAAAAAAAGAACATACTGAAAGATGCAACTGAATCATAATCGAGAATTTCAGTTAGGCAATTTATTTTCATTATATGACTTTAAAAACTAGTTACCACGAGGTGGTATGTTCTTCAATGTTATGTGGTAGTGGTATGTGCTTCAAAGTCATAGGGTGGTAATATGGCCAACAACACTACTTACTGCTAACTCTTGGGCTACTCTTGTCAGACCGAATAGTGGGATTTGTCCATTACTCTTATGATGCACCCATGGCCTCAGCGTGTAGAGCACATTTTTTGTTTTTGACGGTAATGAGGTGGGAGCCACTGAACCTCAAGCTCTCAGTCTCGCACACTAACTATTGGATCTCACTCGGTCCTAGAGAAAGACGTTTGTTTTTCCGAAAGTAACCGAACTTTCGTGGTTTATTCAGTTTTTGACCCTGCATGATTTCTTAGTGTCATAAATTCTGTATTTTAACTTGTTAGTGTGAAAACTGAAAAAAAAGTAACAAAAAGGAGAGTCCACATAGTGAATTGTCTACTTACCATAGTAAAATTAGGCTGATGATATTTTTCCTATTATTCAACATACTTATCCTAAATATTCGTTGTAACAGTAGAAATTGTCATTTGTCAATTGGCTTTCGTGTGACAATGTTTGTTTTTGTGCTTATGTACTAAAATGAATCATAATACTAAATATATGTTGACGATTTTTATAAGCTTGCAATGATCTAACAAGTGTTCAAATGTCAATGAAAATTTAGCTGTTTATTCACACAGAACAAAAACAACAACAAAAACCAACAACAACTGGATTCACACCAGTTCATATATATTGATCCATATACTTATGTTCACGGCAGAAATGTTAACTAGCTAAAGTAATTTACTAAAATAAAAATTACAGTTAACAGAAAAATATATTGTTTATAGTATCACAGCTATGTAATCAATGATTTTCTTGTTTAACCCTAAAATTATTAATTGGACGAGTTACACAACAACCAGGGCTGGCTTTTAGGAGGGTGCAGCGAGTGCGTGGCACCCAGGGCCCGGAACGAAGGGGGCCACAAATCTCAATCAAATGAGGCCCTGTTTAGTTCATTTCACTTGTTATTAGCTCTCTCAACACAGTGGCCAGTGCTTAACGCTCTTTCAGTAAACCGAAATTAATATAATCATATCTGCGATCAACAATGAGTCAAGACCGTCTCACTCCTTGGTTGTCTTGCCAATTGAGAAAGAGGAAGCAAGACACTTCAATTTCAGAAACCTCATAGAAGGGTTGGCCAGTGGTAGTGCAATAAAATTTAATTTCACTTGATTGTTTGTAATTAAGCACAAAACTACACAATGAGCTATCTGTGCTCTGCCCGCCACGGGTATCGAAACCCGGATTCTAGACATACCGCTGTGCCACTGGGGGGCAATTTCACTTGAACTATAAGTTTGTAAGTACATTTTCTATTTCATTGTTATTATTAAATCTACTTTAATTTTTTTTTATTTTTGAAAACTGGGTAGGTCATTACTAAAATTTTTTGTCTCCAAGCTCCCTCTCTCTCATGTATATATATAATTTCATGCACATTGTAGTAGGGAACCCACCATTAATTCTTGCACGCGGGCCCCCTGTACTCTAGGACTGGCCCTGACAACAAAAAATTCTGTTTAATACGAATAAAAGTTCAATGTATGATAAAAGTGTAGAAGAAAAACAATATAATTATAATTATGCTTTATAACCTTCAGAGTATTGAAATTAAGTGTTTTTTAAGGTAGCGACAACTTTTATTCTTGCTGAATGAGAGGTTCTTCTTCTCCCAATTTTACTTCAGTTTGAAATCTTTCATATCTTTGGTTAGTTTTCTTATCAAGTAATAAGCACCACCTAAAAAAAGAAAGAAGGGAAGTAACTTTGGGTAAGGCTACTTTCGTTTGATAACGTTGCTTTGTTTTAAAAACTATTTTAATTTTATAATTTAGACAAATACTTTACTTTTGCTGCCATGAGGCCTTATCAGATGAATGACTGCTTGTTTTTTTTTTTTTAGTAAATAATGCATATTAAACGAAACAGTATGACCAAGAAATAAACTGAAGACAAAAGAATGGTACTTTGATGTTACGAAACTAAAGATCTAATCTTATAGTGAAAAATTAAATAAAACAAATTAGGTAAAAATCTAGCAAACTTTTATTTAGCGCTACAGCCACTTGATGGTATAATACATTTCACATTTAGATGTGAACAAACTACCTTCTTAATTTTAATTAATAATTGAATGGGTAGAGATTTTTTTTTTCAATCTTGACTTCTTTAGCCTCAGACGTCAATAAACGTGTTATTATTATTAATATTAACACCTGATCTTATCAATATATATTTTCGTTTTATACTTACTGGGAGAGCGAAAGATTCTTGTTAATTTCATAAATACCATTTCTTTATTTTCTTTTTTGAGACTTTTGTTTTTTTAAAAAGTAAATGGGAAACTAAAATTTCTGCAACTTCAGTTAGAAAATAATAACTGTTTGAATCGAAGCATTAGATTTTAGAACTTAAGATTGTACTAAGTTTAGTTAGTTAGCGTGTTTTTAGCATTTAAAGCAAATCTATTTAATGCTTTTTGCAGTTATAAAATTTTATTTAATTTGTAATGTTGATAAAACGTATCTTTAGGTAATTATTAGAAATAAATGCGCATAAACCAATCATTATTGCAAAAGAGACCACCACCAAGGGTAAAATGGAGCTTTCGACAAAGAAATAGACCGTTAAGAACACAAACTGTAACCCTACAATTGTGATTATGCAATATTTAAAGACTTTTATTGTGACACACCGAATGCTAATGAAAAGATTTTGCAATCTTTTATTGAATCAAGTAATTTAATTGTTTTTAAGAACAGCATTCCCACACACTTACTGATATGGTTTTCAAGACAGCTTTGATTTAGTTATCTTTTTTTCACCTTTTTGTACCTTTCTCCTGAAATTTCACAGCTCACGATAATATTGGAAGCGACCACGGTCCGATCTCGTTCACTATATTCAATAACGCTACAACCTATAATCCTCAAATCCCATTCTGGCCTCACAGTCTGTCATATTCCCAAGCAGACTGGGAATCCTTTAAGGATAACATTGATAAAGTTTTATCAAACATAAAAACTAGTTTGTACACCTCTGGTAATTTATAATGCTGCTCTTATTATATCACTGAAGCTAAAAGTCTTCAAACCTTCCGATTTTATAATAAAAAACGTTTCTAATTCTACTGATAAACCTATAATCAAAGCATTATTTCGGCTATACTGAAAAACAATCCCGTGGGGATAAAGGTATTAGAAATAACACCCCTGGGGAAGACATATTAGAATTAATTCTTCTGACAAAGACTATATTAAAAACAATTCCCGTGAGGAAGATGGTATTAGAAACAATTCCTCTGGGGAAGATGGCATTAGAAACAATTCCCTTGAGGAAGACGGTATTAGAGACAATTCCCCTGGGGAAGATGGCATTAGAAACAATTCCCTTGAGGAAGACGATATTAGAGACAATTCCCCTGCGGAAGATGACATTAGAAACAATTCCCTTGAGGAAGACGGTATTAGAGACAATTCCTCTGGGGAAGATGGCATTAGAAACAATTCCCTTGAGGAAGATGGTATTAGAGACAATTCCCCTGGGGAAGATGGCATTAGAAACAATTCCCTTGAGGAAGACGATATTAGAGACAATTCCCCTGGGGAAGATGACATTAGAAACAATTCCCTTGAGGAAGACGGTATTAGAGACAATTCCTCTGGGGAAGATGGCATTAGAAACAATTCCCTTGAGGAAGACAGTATTGGAGACAATTCCCCTGGGGAAGATGGCATTAGAAACAATTCCCTTGAGGAAGACGTATTAGAAACAATTCCCCTGGGGAAGATGGCATTAGAAACAATTCCCTTGAGGAAGACGGTATTAGAGACAATTCCCCTGGCGAAAATAATATTGGAAATAATTCCCCTGGCGGGAAGACGGTATTAGAAGCAAATCCCTTAGGGAAAATAGTATTAGAAATAATTCGCTTGGGGGAGACGGTATTTGATTTAGTTTTTCATTTTTCTATATTGTTTACCCTATCTCTCAAAGCATCTTGAAAACATAAATTATTATAGTGCAGCTGCTTAATTAATATTTTGTTACAGTTGTGCTTTGGTGATAAAAGCACAAAATCTGGTGGGCAACTAGAGCAATATATATCTAATTATTTAAGAATGGGAGACTCTTGAAATTACATCTGTGTCTAAAGTTTTCAGGAGTTCAAAGTGGTCACCATATAAATTGGCTGCTCGGAGCCTGTGAGCTATGTTTTAAAATATATAAATGTAATTCTCATATGCTTTACTCCATTAAACTGCTCCATTTGGTAAATTATGTGCAAAGCAATTTTATTAGCATAAGTTAGGTCACATACTTTTCTCTGTTTTAGATAATCTGCCGACTTATTTTGACGATTCATCATTTGTTCAAGTTTATATATAATAAATGTCTTGCTTGTGTATCATATAGTTCCTGCCACTGCGTAAGCAAGCAAACGAGCACACTGGTTTAAACAGCTTATCATTACGTAATGTTATATGTACCAGTGTCCAAAATTCAATTGATATTGATGTACATAATATACGTAACATATATTGGCTTCCCACTGCACATAAAATAATTAACCAGCTCCATGATATAATAATAATTACAGTCAATGTGTGTATCGTTTAAGATTATTATTATTATAGAAGTCCATGCATTTATATGCATGTATATGCATTTGATCATCACAGTCGATATAATAGTGCTTGTATTAATGTTTATTGGTTAATTTTATATTTCTAGACAAAAAAACAACATTTCTTATATTATATTTCAGGATGAAGATTAACGTACAGCTATACCTGGTGGTAGAGTGTAAAGTGTAGATATAGAATAACAGCAGATATTATAGCAGTGGTGGACAATAAATGCACTTATAATGGTTGGAGACGGCTTGAATGGGTAATGAAAAAAAACTTTAATATAAGTTTTTCTTCATTACCCATTCAAGCCGTCTCCAACCAATATTAGTCTCAAAGTGGGTTCCTCGTCATCGTATAAATGCACTTAATAATGTCAAAGACATTCAAGCTTGTGAAGGTAGCACAGCCATCCATATCACAAAGTAACCCATCTCCAACAAACTGGGAACTATGCATAATTTGTCAGGAAGACACAAACGAGCCTCCCCAGTGCTCTTGTCAATCAAAACAACCAGACAAACTAACTGGATACAAGTTACTGGCTAAACACCTAATCAGGTTCCATGATCTAGGAGTGCTACCAAGAACCTTTCAGAGGGCAAGGATAGATGAGATTCACGATGTTGAAGAGCGTCTTTCAGCCAACATTGTCAAGTGGTATGAAACATGCAGACTACAATTTAACAAAAACCATACCGAATAGGACAGAAAAGAGTCAACTACAAGGCAGTGCCTGGGGAAGTAAACATGCAGCAGGTATCTGTAAATGCATCAGATCAAGGTCATCAATTATTTCTGAAGCTGGTGTGAATTTGTCTTTTTCCTGTGGACATCCAGGTGGTTCTGAAGAACTTTGAGCTGGACAGGCGTGTGCATATGAGTGCAACTCTCATCGAAGACACAAAACTTCTGGGTCAACTCGTTAAAGGGAGACATGATTGCTTTTGAATGCAAATATCATTACAAGTGACACTGTGTCAACGTTTGTTGGGCATGTGAAGAAAACCGCTTGGGTAACATGGAATGCCTTGCCTGAGCTTATTGACGCCTTGCTTATTCTAGCCTCCGCTTAGAGAGATTTGTTATATTCATGTACGACTGTGCAAGCACGCGTACTGATGTCAATGAAGCCAGAAAAAGGTTGTTCCCAAAGAAGAGATCACCAGCAGCAATTCCGCCTACATATGCAACACTTGGGCAACATGTCAAGCGAGCTGCCTACCAAGGTGGGTACGTGTGGGGCCAGACACAGAACCCAGCACCTGGAGATGGATGAAGAATGAAGACGGGCTGTATGGGCTCCTTTGCTGTGGCTGCAAAAAAGGGATGCCGCAGCCTATGCAAATATAAAAGAGCTGTTCTCCAATGCATTGGCCTTTGCTCATGTGAAGGAGAGTGTTCACAGAACTGAATATGATGGCCTTCACATCACAAGAAATAGTACTGTATATGAACTATGGTGTGAATTTTCTATACTCAGAAGTAAAATACATACTTACGCAGTACATTGCATAGCGTACTATACCCCGAATCAAGTTATACAGCTACAGCAAGTACAAAATAATCACTGAAAGACTCATTTAGACTAATTTCTGATGACTCGTGAAATAATTACTTGGTGATGTATGATTTTACGTTTCTGCCTCTTTCTGCTAAGCAACTACTA